GGACTGCGCTTCGTCTGACTCGTCACCTGAGACCTGTCTGCCATGGGAGACCCTACCAGGGGCATGAAGCCCCAGACAGCATAGCTCCCAGGATCACCCGAGTACTCAAACTCCCCCACCACGTTAAGGTGGCAGTCCAGGGGGGCCATTTGAACCCTGTAATGTAAAAAAAAAAAAGTCATGACTTATTTATACGCCTGGATCGTTTATTCAACAAAACATACAACCAAAAACATAGCAGCTACTGTATAGACTGCAGAATTGGATGGATCAGTATTGTGCAGAAGACTAATACATACCCAGACTTATGATTAGGGTTGGGCACCGAGAACCGGTTCCTAAAGTGCGGTTCCGGAACCGTTAAGAAGACGTTTGTATTTTGATTCTTTTTTCGATTCCTAAATGCCGGATGCGGCCCGCACAGCGGCGTCGGAAGCGTTTGGAAGGTGGGGGGGGGGACACGTTTCAAAAATGCTTAGCAGCTGTCCACCCAGCGTAATAAAGCCAGGGCTTTATTACGCTTTGTGAAAAACTCAGTGAATTAAGCTCTTATGAGACGGCGCGCTCGTGTTTGCATCCACATTTAGCTTCAGCCACACCGTTAACTCCTGCCATCGCAAAGAAACCTCTCAACGCTTGTATCTTCACATTTTCCACAAACGCAGATAAAACTGAGTCAAGGGGTAAAGGAAGCAAACATTTATCCGTCAAATGACTAATTCAGATATTATTTGGTTAAGTTAGAGTCCAGACAGCGAGGTTTAACGGGCGTATTGACCGGTTGAACACTCGTGCTAGCCCGGTGCAGTTTCCCCAAACTCACGCTACATCAGTTTCATCACTCGCTTTACAAACACATCCAAAACTGATGTTCCTTACCTTAAAGTTACTGGTCAGGCCCTTTGTAATGATGAAGAAGGGAAACACGCTGTCCACCTGCCGAGGACCGCAAAAAGTCCTGCTCCTCCTCCATGTAATAATCCGTAAAAAACTCCGAAAACACGATGCACGAGTCCTTGTGCTTTGGTCAAATCTGTCAGTCCGTCCAACGATAATCCTCCAGTATTCTCACTTAAGCCGTTTTTCAGCGGTTTACAGAGACGTGTTTACATTTCAGCCGCTCTGAGATGATGGTGGGCGGTGCCACATAAACACCGCGTGTGTGTGTGTGTGTGTGTGTGTGTTCCTTGTGTTCCTTGTTTTTTAATTTGTTTTTATGTAAAGCACTTTCTGTTGCCTTATGGCAGGAAAAGTACTTATGAAATAAAATTTGATAAAAGATTATCTTTTTTTTTTTTTCTCTCCTGCACCTCAAAGAATCGGAATCGAGAATCGTTTAGAACAGGAATCGATAGTGAAAATCGGAACCGGAATTGGAAAATTGCAAACGATGCCCAACCCTACTTATGATAATACTGGGTGCATGGAGTAGCATTCTTCGGTACATTATATCTGCCACTGCCAACTTAAAACTGGGGTAACTAACCTTTAATCCAATCCAAGCCACTTCATCTACTATAGCACATTTTCCAAAAGAAGTTCCCAAAGTGACACATGCAAATAAAATGGTGGAAAAACATGCCAATTATACAATATATATAAATAAAAGTAAAAATAAAACAGAAGAATAAATGAAACAGAGGACCATGTGGTATTAAAAGCCAGAAAGTAAAAGTGAAGCTTTCCAAACCCCACCATATGTAATAAACAGAATAGTTCCAAGCTCTTGGTTCCATCACAATGGCAAGGCAAGGCAAGGCAAGTTTATTTGTATAGCACAATTCATACACAAGGCAATTCAAAGTGCTGAACAGAACAAGAAAGCATTAAAATCATAAATAATCACAGTACATTAAAAAAAAGATAAAAATATAAAATCCCTCAGTTGTATGCACAGCTAAACAGAACCGTCTTTAACCTGGTTTTAAACATTGTCAGAGAGGAGGCCTGTCTCACATCTTCAGGGAGACTGTTCCAGATTTTAGCAGAATGAATCTGAAAAGCAGCCTCCCCAAGTTTAGTTCTGACTCTGGGCACTAACAGGAGTCCAGTCCCTGTGCTCCTCAGAGTCCGGGCTGGTTCATATGGGACTAACATGTCACTAATATATTTTGGTGCGAGGCCATGGAGAGACTTGTACACAAGCAGAGCTGTTTTAAAGTCTATCCTCTGAGCCACAGGAAGCCAGTGCAGAGACCTGAGGACTGGACTAATGTGGTCGTACTTCCTGGTTCTAGTCAGGACTCGAGCTGCTGCATTTTGAATGTACTGCAGCTGTTTTACAGCCTGTTTGGACAGACCTGTGAGCAGGCCATTGCAGTAGTCTAACCTACTGGAGACAAATGCATGGATAAGAATCTCCAGGTCTGCTTTAGACACTATGTTTTTGATCCTGGCAATGTTTTTTAGATGGTAAAAAGCTGCTGATGTTACTGATTTGATGTGGCTATTAAAATTTAAGTCTGAGTCCAGTATTACCCCTAGATTTCTGACCTTGTTTGAAGGTTTTAGGGAGAGAGACTGTAGGTGACAGATGACGCTCTCTCTTTGTTTCTGGGGACCAAAGACAATCATTTCAGTTTTGTCTGCGTTTAGCTGAAGGAAGTTGTTTTGCATCCACTCACTGATCTGTTGGATACAGTGAAGGAGTGAGTCCACTGGTCCATGTTCTCCTGCAGTCAGTGAGACATAGATCTGAGTGTCGTCTGCATAGTTATGATAGGAAACTTTGTTTCTGCGTATTAACTGACCTAGCGGCAGCATGTAGAGATTGAACAGAAGAGGTCCCAGGATCGACCCCTGTGGTACTCCACAGGTCAGGGCCATATGATCTGAGACACAGTCTCCAATCTCCACAAAGTACTTCCTGTCTTCAAGGTAAGACCTAAACCAACTTAGGGCGGTGCCAGCGACTCCAACCCAGTCCTCTAGTCTCTTTAAGAGGATCTCATGGTCGACGGTGTCAAAGGCAGCACTCAGATCTAACAAGATTAAGATTGAGACTTTGCCTGCGTCAGTGTTTAGCCGGATTTCGTTTGTAACCTTGACAAGAGCAGTCTCAGTGCTGTGGTGGGGTCTAAAGCCGGACTGAAACATATCAAATGAGTTGTTAATTATAAGAAATCTAGTAAGCTGTAGGTAGACAACTTTTTCAAGGACTTTCCCCATAAATGGCAGATTTGAGATGGGACGATAGTTGTTAGGTACCGTAGCATCCAGGCTGCTCTTTTTTAGCAGGGGCCTGATGACTGCCGTTTTCAGGGCCTTTGGGAATATTCCAGAATGAAGGGACATGTTGACTATCTGTGTGAGTGAAGGTAACAGACTGCCCAGAACAGACTTCAGAAATCTAGTGGGTGGTACATCCAGGCTGCATGTGGAGGAGCTCAAACTGGAGATTATCTCTTGGACATTTTTATCATCTACAGGTGCAAAGTAAGTTAGCTCAGAGAGCCTTTCTGGCTGTTAGATGGTTATCTGTGGATTGGAGACAATGGCGTTTTTGATGCCTTGAACCTTGTCATTGAAAAAGTGTGCAAACTCATTGCATTTACGTTTGGAAGTTAGCTCTAATGGCATCTGAACAGGGAGGTTTGTTAATCTATTAACTGTTGAAAACAGAACACGCAGATTGTTACTGTAGCCTTCAATCATTTCAGAAAAATACCTTTCTCTCGTACTACGTAGCACCCGGTTAAACTCGCACAACTTATCCTTGAATATCTTGTAATCAACCTGGAGGTTGGACTTGCGCCACTTCCGCTCGACCCTCCGGCACTTTCTATTCAGTGCCGAGTCTGCTTTAGCCCACGGCGCCTTCTGCTTATTTTTCACTATTTTAACCTTCACAGGGGCAACGGTATCCAGAACATTCAAAACACTAGAGGTGACAGAGTTAAACAGTTCATCTACAGTAGAATGCGATGCATTTTCAAAGTTTATCATTCCCATAAATAGTTCACTCGTATTTTCATTTATGTGTCTTCTTCGAACAGTTGCAGAGTCCACTGGTGGTTTGTTAGTGAAACACATGTCAAAAAATACACAGAAATGATCCGAAAGAGCAACATCGACCACGCTTATATTTGAAATATTCACCCCCTTAGTAACTAACAGGTCTAGAGTGTGCCCTCTGCTGTGGGTGGGGCCACTCACGTGCTGAGTGAGACCAAAGGTATCAAGTAAAGAACTCAGCTCTTTTGCATTTCTGTCATCAACATTATCCACATGAATATTAAAATCACTTGTAATAACTAAACTATCAAAATCTGTGCATAAAACTGAAAGCAACTCGGTAAAATTACCAATAAAACTGTGACATGACTGCGGTGGCTTGTATAGGACTATGAAGAGTATTGGAGGAGATTGTTTTTGTTGTATTTTAAAAGACACATATTCAAAAGACGGAAACTTCCCAAGAGACATTCTATGGGAGACAAAGTGGTCTCTAAAAATGGCAGCTAAGCCTCCTCCTTTTTTCACATACATGTTCTATATGGAGGAAAATAAAAGACCCCCCTCCATCAGCCAATCAGCTTTCACCCCAATGACTCACAGAGCTTTTCAAAAATGCACAATATAACATGTTTTCTAATAAGAGGAAGACAGAATGTTGAGGTCAGATTTCATCACAACCTTTTTGGTGGTAGTACTTTTTTTTTTTTTTTTTTTACTTTCTGTTTTGCGACAATTACGAAAAAGTGACGTACCCGAGCTATTTGAATGACTGTATTCATCATCCTCTTGTAATAGATTTGAGATTCATAGGCAAATAAAAAATGAAAGATGCATATGACACGTCTACAGAGAACTTTCCCTGATTCCAAATGTTCAAGGAATCAACACAATTATCTCTATAACCATTTTTGAAAAGATTCTGAAACTCACTATTCTCCACATTTCCATAGCCTTTGATGAAAATGCTCATAATACTCCCCTCTCTCCACATAGACACACATTACAGACCTATTAGAACTCTTTCCCTCTCCCTCTCTTTCCAGGTCAGCTGCCGTTGCGTAACAGCAGCTGGTGGCGGTCCGTGTCTGCTCTACATTGTTGTTACATAAGACAATTTGATGTTCGCTCTCCTAATCCCTACTGTGCGGTCGTGTGCACTCCTCCATGTAGGATTTTCCAGCCCGTGTCACCGTCCCATAAGCTGCGCTGCTCTCTGCACAAGAGGGGTCAGAAAGGCGCGCCATGGAGCACTTAGCTTTGGGACACGGCGTCTTCTCTCGCTTAAGCATCTTCTCTGATTTTCAAATGTAGCCCCAAGCTGCTGCGTGCAATAAAATCATAAGAACTGTTGTGTTGCTGAGAACGCGGATGACGCTGATGCGATGATGTATTGTAAGGCGGCTGTATAATACAGAGAGAGTTTGCGTTTCGTCACATGGAATCCCGCTCTGCTTAGCTGTTGTTGATAATAAAACAATGAATATGTGCAGATAAAAACAATGCATTGGTTTTATATAGCGCTTTTGGACATTCGAAGACGATTCACATTATCTTTATCTTTTCACTCCATACACGGTGGTGACAAACTACTACTGTAGCTGCCGCTGCCCTGGGGCACACTGACAGAAGGGAGGCAACCAGTATGTGCCATCGGCCCCCCTGCTCACAAACCATTCACACACACACCAGACTCATTCTAGGCAATGTGGGAGAATGTTTTGCCTGAGGACTGTTATGGCAAAGTTGGTTAGCCTCAAGGACGCCAACTCACCCCCCGCTGTTCTATTCAATTAACCTGCAGGAAGGAACCGGTCTCCCCCCTGCACCTACAGACATGACGCAAATTACTATCTCACCTTTGCCCCTTTTGCATTTTGCATCTCTATCGGTCCGTATGTCTGCATTTCTATTGACCTTTTACATTCTGCATGTCTATTGTCCCTTCTGTTTGCATCTCCATGGCACAAAGATTGTCTCTCACCAGGCAAGGCGCCTCGCCATCTGGATGCCCGTCTCAAACTGTGACCCCTCCCACCTTTTGTGGGCGTGACTGTCTTTCATGTGTTGTCTATGTAAACGGGGACCTGGGACTGGCCCCGCCAGAACTGATGTACGCTATTTTGTGTATGTGAGTTCTCCGCACGTGTGTTATAATAAACTTACGCTCCTGATTAAGACAAATACCTTTCCAGCTTTTTCCTTACTGTGGATAGAAACTCCCACGACAGGACACAACAACAGCCACTTTATAGCCGCAGCCTCCCCACTGTGGCACCTGATGCTCCCAGAGGTCTCCCATCACAGTACTAACCAGGCCCTGTCCAGCTTAGCTCAGAAGTCTGACAGAATCTGGCTTTGGCATGCAAGTATTTTGTTGTGTGTTTGGATGCACAAGTAGGTCTAGCTCAGGTACAGGTTCAGATAAATGGCTGTATTTTTCTGGAGGCTCCAGGATTCATCCGGAAGTTCCTTTAGACCAGGGCATCAGGGCAGATATGGACTCGGCCCCCAAAGGGCCAGTGTGGCTGCGGGATTTCATTCCAACCAAGCAGGAGCACTCCAGACACCACCCATTTCCTCAAGTCCAGTCTTAGACCTGCACTCACCAGCCCTTTCTGGAACCAGTTTGACACGCCTGCTTTAAATGCATGCACCAAATGTAACTCAAGCCTTCTAGAAGTGTACGATAGTTTGTTTTTATGTGTTCATGATGGTGTCTATTTGATGTATTGTACATTTTTTATTTTTTATGTTGTGTATCTTGGGGATGTTCCCTGTTCTGTAGCACTCTGTGATTTCTCTGAAATGTAAAGTGCATTATAAATAAAAAGTATTATTATTATTATTATTTTTAAAAGTTTGTCAATACTATATATATTGTGAAATTTTTGCGTGTTGTTCATATTCATCAAGTTATATAACACTATTTGGCTGAAAGGAAGCCCCAAAAATGGACAAATCCGGTTATTCTAATAGATCTCTGAGCCACACATGTATCAGCAGTCAGCCTCTTGGTTATGTGCTGTTATGTTAATAAACTGTACTGAATATTCTTTGTTTTCTTTGTTTTTCATGCAGTTTTCAGTTCATGTTTGGTGAAAGACAATAAAAGACATGAACTATGTTCAGTCTAGCTAGGTGTGTGTCTTTGTTTGCTGTACCTTGATAAGAACAGCAAACGTACAAGTGTACTAATCCAACATCACTACAATGTTTTTGTAAAATGTATTTCATGGTGGTCTCTTTGGCCACGTTTACACAGAGACCTGGGATTGACCCTCATATCTTTCCGGCTGCGATGACCTCACCACTTCCCCACGACATGCGCAGTAGGCGGATCAACTAACGCTATGTGCGCTTCGAGCGTAACACGGAGCAATTCCAAGAGAAACCACACAAAGCTGTAGACGCAGATTCCATTTTCACTGCTATTGTTAAATGCAGAATGATGTTTGTGCGTTCTTTTCCGGCTTTGCAGTGGCCTGAGGAGTGCTAAAAGCAAACTAGTCTCTCCACACTCCTTCCCTCAAAGTGGTATTTTACCCTGTGCTTTGTGAAAAGGCTGTAATGATACTGACTTGTTTTTTTATTTTCACCCACGATAAGACCCTCTTTGTGCCTTTCATTGATCCCTAGTGGATTAAAACTTACAATTTGCTTGCTAAGATGTCTTTTGTGCTGGCTGGCCTGAAATGCTCATACGATTCTTTGACTTTGTGTTATACCGTTTGCGTTTCTGTCTTGTCCATTTCGCCACTTCTAACTTTTCACACACTCAAGATGGATGCTAGCTCACTATTAGTGACTTAATATTTCAAACACAATGCTGATAAAAGCAAAGTCTCTCGGAGTATACTTGTTCTCTCAAATAGTTTGTGTTCTCCCCAGAAGTGTAGACACAACAGCAAATAGCGGCCGCCTGCTGTTCGTGCCGACTGCTGCCTGCAAATGCCTCTGTTATTATGAGGAACAACACTCCAGCCCCAGACTTCATCTGCACATATTCAGAACTACTGCTGCAGAGGACACGGGACTACAGTTTTATACACGATAGAGAAATGCATAAATAAGACAAAAATCATAATTGTAATAATAGCAATACATTTCATTTATATGGTCTCGTTCTGGGCACAGTTAAAAGCAAGTTTAAAATGAGCAGTGGAATGTAGGGTTGCAGTGATTAGGCCAGTCTGAATATATGTGTTTAAGTGCAGTTTGCAAATGTGGGAGGTCAGGGAGAAGGTTGTTCCAGAGCTGGCAAGCAGAGAGGCTGAATGCTATGCTCTCCATGGTGATGAGGCGGAGGCAGGAGGTACCAGGAGCCGGAGGGAAAAGGAGGAATAGGCAGGTGTGCTGAAGTGGAGGAGCTCAGAGAGATATGGAGGTTTGAGGTTTTGGGTGGCTTCGATAAAATGTCAGAATGTGCAATATAGAACTACAAGTGTTACTGTCACTTTACTGAGTCTCTATGTCCCAGACCCTCATGTTGCTATATATATTACTTGCTATAACTATATATTACTTGCACTAGAATATACAGCATTTTACACTTGCTCTTTATATTATATTTTTATAATGCTAAAGTCAGGGGTTTTTGTTCCCTATTCTTGCTTCTTCATAATGCTAAAGTTGGGGATTTTAAGACTTCTCTCGTTATTATGCTACAGAAATAGATTTTAAACTGCTTCTTTTTATGCTAGAGCCACAGATGTTACTTTATTTTACTTTTTAAACTATTTTTTTCTTATTCAAATACTTCTTGTTTTATTCATGTACTTGTCTTGTATTTATTCCAATGTGGTTTTACTGCAAATGGCACAAAAAATATGAATCTTTTACTTTAGTATAGATTTATTATTAATGTATCTATGTGTGCTCCTCATTTCTACTGTTCTATAACTTGTGATGCAACACTGACATTTCCCCACTGTGAAACTGTGGAGCGGTTTCAGGACAGGGGTGATGTGGTCGACGGAGGGAGTGTGTGTGTTTTAGACAGTTTTAGACCAATTAGAGTTTGTGGAGCGTTTTTTGAGGACAACCAAACAGAAGGGGGAATGGCATTTATGCAGATGTAAGTGACGAGAAGATGAAACAGGACTGCAGTGGACTGTGGAAGGAGGAAGACTGCGGAGGGAGGGAGGCGGCGGAGGGAGAAGATAACGAAGCCACTGACGACGGTAATGTGTTAATCATAACGTGTATTAGCCTCACTGACAATTGTCTTAATTTAATTTCTCAATCCTCTCTCAATCCTATTATGTTAAGCAGGATATAGTTGGAAAGTATTCTACTGATAGCTTGAAATGATTGATGATTGATGCGAATACAGAATATAGTATCTTCCCTGTAAAAAATATTGAAAAAAACCACAATTTATTTATAAAACATTTTGAATGACAATGTGTTTGTTATTATATTATTTCAGTTAAAACAAGCCATTATATTCTTTTTCCATCAGTAAACTTAAAGATAGGGTTTTTTTCATGTAAACCAGTATAATGCAACTTAATAGGGATTTTTCCATGTAAACCAGTACAATGCAACTTAATAGGGATTTTTCCATGTAAACCAGTATAATGCAACTTAATAGGGTTTTTTTCATGTAAACCAGTATAATGCAACTTAATAGGGATTTTTCCATGTAAACCAGTATAATGCAACTTAATAGGGGTTTTTACATGTAAACCAGTATAATGCAACTTAATAGGGTTTTTTCCATGTAAACCAGTATAATGCAACTTAATAGGGTTTTTTCATGTAAACCAGTATAATGCAACTTAATGGGGATTTTTCCATGTAAACCAGTATTATGCAACTTAATAGGGATTTTTCCATGTAAACCAGTATAATGCAACTTAATAGGGTTTTTTTCATGTTAACCAGTATAATGCAACTTAATAGGGTTTTTTTCATGTAAACCAGTATAATGCAACTTAATAGGGTTTTTTCATGTATAATGCAACCTAATAGGTTGCATTATACCACCAGACCAAGACCCAAACGAAGACTCAGACCACCACCAGATAATGACCACAGACCAGGTTTCCTTAGTTACAGGAACCAAATTGTTTCAGCGGTGAGGGGATTTTTCAGTTTCAAGGACACTTTCAATACATTCAGTAGTTTCAAGGATTTCAGCTGTTTAAGAATTTAACCAGTTTCAAGGATATCAGGAGGTTCAAGGATTTCAGGAGTTTCCACACTTTCAACAGTTTCCAGGTTTAAAAAAGTTTCAAGGATTTCAGGAGTTTC